CCCACCAAAGTACAATAGCCAGAAGTAGACCGCGTATCATCAATAGAACCTGCCCAGTTAGCATCAGAATAGGCCTCTACCTTCTGATGCTCATTATTAGAATACAATATCACCTTTCCTGCACATCCCTTCAAATAGGCAAGTACTCTATTCACTGCTTACATATGAGATGATCTAGGCTTGTGCGTGTATTGGCTGACCACACTCACAGCATATGATATATCTGGTCTAGTCAAACACAAGTAGAGAAGGCAACCAACAAGTCTCTGATACACACCTTTGTCAAGAAGAACATCTCCATCATCAACTCCCAACTTATGATTGGGATCAATTGGAGTTTCAGTCGGTTTACAATCCAATTTTCCTACCTCTTGAAGCAAATCAAGGACATATTTCCTTTGAGAAATATAAATGCCCCTCTTTGACCTTGATACCTCAATCCCTAGGAAAAACTGGAGATTTTCGAGATCCTTAATTTCGAATTCAGTAGCAAGGAAAGACTTCAGTTCAGCAATCCCAGAGATATCATCACTTGTGATAACAATATCATCAACATATACTATCAACATAGTTAATTTTCCATTTGCTCTCCTAATAAATAGGGTATGGTCAACTTTGTGATTGTGAGAAGCCAATTTTTAAGACAGCTTTCCTAAATCTTTCTAACCAAGCTTGAGGGGACCGTTTAAGGCCATAAAGGGATTTCTTCAAATGATAAACCTTTCCTTCACTCCCAGGGATGTTCATTCCTGGAGGAAGTTCCATGTAAACTTCTTCTTGAAGGTCTCCTTAAGGAAGGTGTTCTTAACATCAATTTGATACAAGGACCAAGAATAGTGGGCAGCAAGAGACATGATAACTCGGATTGAATTCATCTTGGCTACTGGCACAAATGTTTCCTGGTAATCAATGCCATAAGATTGGGTGTACCTTTTTGCCATGAGTCGAGCTTTGTACCTTTTAATTGAGCCATCATCTTTATGCTTCACTATGTAAACCCACTTGCATCCTACAGGAATTTTACCTTCTGGAAGAGAAACAATTTCCCATGTCTAGTTTTTTTTGAGTGCCTCCATTTCCTGGTTCATAGCATCCTTCCAATGAGGGAACTGCACTGCCTCAGTAACATTGTGAGGGATAAAAACTGAAGCAATAGAAGAGATATAGGCACAATAAGAGGGTGACAAAGTATCATAAGAGACATAGTTTGAGATAGGATACTTAGCACATGTCCGTCTTGCTTTACAAATTGCAATAGGAAGGTTGAGATCAGAATTTACAAGAAGAGGCTCAACAATAGATTCAACACAGGCATCGGAAACAGGAAGAGGTTTAGAGTCCAAATTACCTGAGTCTGAGAGCTCAAATTGTAATGGACATTCAATCTCTAGAGTCATCCTCTTTCTTTGTCTGACGAACCACTGATGCCAAGACCGGGGAATAGGAGGAGGCAAAGGAGGAGGCACGGGAGGACTACTACGACCACAGGGAGGAGGAGGAGAAGAAGATTGACAGCATCAGTTGCAGGAATCGGCATACAAAAGGGAGTCCGATCTTCACTAACATCTTCCCCTTGAAGAGAAGAACAAGAGACAGAGAAGAAGGGAGTAGACTCAAAGAATGTGACATCTTTGGACACATACCTTTTTCCAAAACAAGGGTCATAACAACGATACCCCTTTTGGACTGAAGAATATCCCAAGAATACTCACTTGATTGACTTTGGATCAAATTTCAGCCTAGAAGGACTCATGTCATGGATGAAGCAAACACACCCAAAAACCTTGGGAGGAAGATGGAATGTATCCTCATCAGGAAAAAGAAGTTGACGAGGAGACTAGAGATGCAAGGTCCGTGAGGGAAGTCTATTAATAAGATATATAGTTGTTTGAGCAGCATCCCCCCAAAACCGAGTTGGAACATGCATCTAGAATAACAAGCCTCTGCCAACTTCAAACACATATCTGTTTTTCCTCTCCGATACCCCATTTTGTTGGGGAGTATGAGGGCGAGAACTCTGGTGAATCACTCATTTTTCTTCAAGGTTTGTAAGTGCTTCTCAAAGTACTCCTTGGCATTGTCAAATCTAATAATCTTAATCTTCTTCTCAAGCTGTCTCCACCATACTAAAAAATCCTTTCACAATTGAAGGAACTTCATCTCGGCTCTTCATCAAATACAACCAAGTATATTGCGACTAGTCATCAACAAAGAGAATGAAATATTTGTAGCCACCCATACATGGAATAGAATAAGGTCCCCGAGCATCAGTATGTATTAAATGAAAAGCAACATTACTTCTTTTGTTACTGCAAAAAAGGTTTTTCTACATTGCTTTGATAGTTGACAGACTTCACATTGCAGACCAGAACTAGACAAGGACTCAAACAAACTAGGAAACAAAAACTTCAAGGAACCAAAAGACACATGCCCAAGACGATGATGCCACAATTTCAGTTGACTTAGTTTCTCATCATGATAAGACACAGACCGACACATCAACCCTAACATTGGAGACTGATCAAGAAGATAAACTCCATCAGCTTCATGTCCACTACCAATTGTCTTCCCCATACTCAGGTCCTGAAAGACACAATGAGATGGAAAGAAGGTTACATAGCAATTATGAGACTTTGTAATAGAACTAACAGATAAGAGATTTCTATGCAATTGTGGAACATGGAGTGTAGAGTACAAAGAAAGGCTATTGGTAAGTTTAACTTCACTCAAACCCGATATTGGGGTCTGGGATCCATCGGCAACGGTAATTGTACCTTTCCCTGAAAGGCATACCAGTCATATGATCACTGGCTCCTGTGTCAATTATCCAAGAGCTAGAGGATGGGACATGACACATAAATGTAGTACTTGATTTTGCAAAGGCACTAGAAGAAGCATTTGAACCAGTAGATGTAGGCAACCCGCTCTTTTCAAGATGGAGTAAGATGTCTCTCAATTTTTCCATCACATCAGAGGTGTCATGAGTATATGCCGGAGCAAGAGGATTTCCCTTAAGCATGTGAGTCTAAGAATCATGACTTGCAGTAGCAACATGAGCATTTACTTTCTTTCCACTTTTAAACTTCTCAGGTTTCAAGTGTGGATTTAGTTCCCAGCATCTATCCTTGGTATGCTTTGGCTTCTTATAGTATTCACAAAATACCTCTTCATGTTTACGAAAACTCTGCTTAGGCTTTGTGGATACAAGAGCAGTGTGCTCACCTACAGACACTTGCATCATAGCATTCCTCCTACTCTCTTCATTCTGTGCAAGGAATATGCTGTGAAGAGTGACAAAATATCAGCACTAAGGATGTGTTGCCTAATGAAGTCATAATCAGCATTCAGCCTAGCAAGAAAATCGAAAACTCGAGTTTTTTCAATGTACTTCTTGTATTGTTAAGCATCAACAGGATCTTTCCACTCCAAAACCTCAAGATGATCAATTTCTTCCCAAATTGATTCTAAGGAGGAAAAATACATGGCCGCTGATTTCTCCCCCTGTCGCATATTACATGCTTCTCTTCGCAACTGATAGATTCTAGTAGTGTTTTTCACTTGAGAATAAGTTGCAGTTAGTCTATCCCAAATATCTTTAGCTGTTGGAAGGAACATATTAGTTACGGGCGATGTGTGGCTGCATAGAGCATACGAGCCATGACATAACCAGCAAATTATCCTACTCCCGTTTGGAATAGTGTGGATCTTCAGGCTTCAGCTTAGCTTCCTTACCGGTAATAAATCCTCCAAAAACAAATTTCTCACCAGCACCACAGTCTTCCAACAACAGCTGAACTCCCAAACACCTTTTCCACAAGGTTAGACACGAGTTACAGCAAAAAACCTAGGAAAAATAGGTACTGGTAGCAAAATATAGGAAGAAAAAAATTCCCAAAAAAAGTTTTAGGGCTCTAAAAAACTCAAGACTACTTCCTACAGTCCCAGGGGTTTACCACGACTCAAACACGAGGTTTCAGCAGCAACCAATCCACCATACGAGCATGCAAGCCCTAAATTCCAGATCTGGATTTTTTGCCAATTTTCATTCGAAAAATCCAAAAAAACTTCAAACCACCATGAAACTTACACTAAAATTCCCCTAAGACGGCGTGCTGACGTCAACCGATGGCGTGCTGATGTCAGCAGATCTGTCTATGAGTCACGACCAGCAGCAGAGAGTTTTCTTGATCATGCGTAGCTTTGATACCAAGTTGTAAAGTTTAGAGATGTTGAGAATGCTTGTCGAGAATGCTTGGTTTGGCACTGTTCACACCAAGAGACTTTTCATTTCTTCTTCATAAGAAAAATTACAAAGGTGCCCTTGAATAGGCGCCCAAATAAAAAAAAAACACAAAAGGACAGAAATGCCCTCACACTCTTAACAGTTCTTTTAGTCTTTGATAGTTGGCACTGAATGTTCTCAACTCAACAAAACCTTATCCCAACTATAATTTGGCATTTAACATGCATGGATGATATATAATAGTCACAATTTCTCCCTACAAATTGTCTCCAACATATTTAATGTATAAGCTGTGTGGTTCTGTAATAATGTATTCATTTTAAGCATCTGTTGACATTTTAACTTTCTTTTTCATGAAAATGTAATGTAATATATTGTAATATTGTTGACATTCTGACTCCATATTTGTTTCATCATCACCAAGATAATATAAGCCTTGTGCAAACTATATGCCACTACTTAAATCATTTTACTTCAACCCATGTCCTTTTTGGTCTACTTCTAGCCCCTTTGACTTGCAACAGATCACTTTTTGTTTACATTCTTGTGATAGTAATACCAAGGTAAATGTTATTTGGCCTCTTTCGATTTTGTCTTTTCCATATATAAGCATTATTATATATTCCTAGAGGTGCAGTAAGTTGAAAATTTTATGAATTATTTCTAGGTGGTTGAGAAAACTTAGCTGATTGGAAGTTTCATTTTCTTCTTAATGCCTATGTGCTTTTTAAGTTATAATTGACTCAATAAATTGCAGGTATGGTCAGTTTGATAGTGCAAAAGAAACTTTTGAGGTTATTGCAGATTTTTTGAGCATGCTTGATCTATTTATATGTCACTTGAACCCCAGTGCTATGCGGCGTCTTGCACATAAATTGGAAGATGCTAGTACTGATTCAGAATTGAGGCGATATTGTGAAAGGATTTTAAGAGTCCGCTCAACAGGATGGACACAAGGTATTTTTGCCAACTTTTCGGCTGAGAGTATGGTTCCTAAAGGACCAGAATGGGGTGGTGGAAACTGGGAAATAAAGACCCCCACTAACATGAAAAATATACCTCAATGGGAGCTGGCTGGAGAGGTAACACCATATATGAAGACCAATGATGGTGGCATCCCATCCATCATTCCAGAACATATTGGTGTTTACTTGGGTGCAATTAAAGGAAGGGGCAATGTAGTAGAAGTAAGGGAAGAGAATTTAGTCAAGGTTTTTACAACTGCAGCTGGTGAGAACAAAGCCAATGGGTTTCAAGCTTCTGTTGCTAAGCCTATATCTGCCAAGCCCAACAGCATGGCTGGTGGAGATGCTAAGGTGCATTCTTTTAATGATTTGGAATCTCTCACCAAGAAATTAGCAAGCACAACAGCTGCAGATGAGCAGGCAAAAGCTGCTGAAGAATTTAAGAAATCATTATATGGTGCCTCTGCTGATGATAGCAGCAGTGATGAGGAGGGTGGAGTGACCAAGACCAGAAAGTTTCGCATACAGATACGTGAGAAGCCAATTGCATCGAGTCCAGTGGATGTCAATAAGATTAAAGAAGCCACCAAGCAATTTAAACTTGGTGATGGTTTAGGTCCACCCATTGGTAGGAACAGATCATCATTTGGGGGATCCCAAGATCTTGCATTGATTCTATCTCAACCAGGTTCTGCAACTGTAACTGCTCCTGTTTCTTCTCCTAATTTATTTGGAATTGATTCATTGGTACAACCTGCAACAGTGAAACAAGCAACCCCAACAGCTATGGGTGTGGGAATTAATTCTGGTCCCATCCCTGAGGATTTTTTCCAGAATACAATTACATCCTTTCAGGTTGTAGCTTCTTTGCCTCCTTCAGGGGCACATATCACAAAATCAATTCCGAAATCTCAAGAAGTTGACAAAAACAAGGTAACCACTAACCAGGTTAATGCAGCGGCTGATATAGGTCTTCCTGATGGAGGAGTACCCCCTCAGGCAACTCAAAAGCCAGTTATCCCACTTGAATCCATTGGGCTTGCAGATGGTGGTGTGCCACCACAGTCCATGGGTCAGCCTGATATCCAACCACAATCCCAGGTTCCAGTTGCTCAGATCCCAATATCTTCGCAGCCTCTTGATCTGAGTGTACTTGGTGTGCCAGGATCTGTCAGTTCCGGAAAGCCTCTTGTTCGCCCCACTTCCCCACTTTCTGCTGTGCACCCTGGACAAGTAAGTGCTTCCTCTTCCTCTGTTTTCTGATATAAGACTATCAGTATACATGCCCTCAATCAACTACAGCTGGCCCATAAAGGCCCTGCTTAGTCCATTGCTAGAAGCCCATTTCTGTCAATGTCTGGCTGACTGCGGGCAGGAAATGGCTTGAATGGTGTTTGGCTGGTCCTGTAGTTTATTTCTGTCCAAGATTGGAGAAGAAATGATTCTTTGCAGGAATTATAATATAAATATACTTGACATAATATAATAATATGATATAGTTATAATATATATACATTTTATAGCAAATAAAAAATATTTTTCTAATTGTATAAAGACATTCATGTATGCATAAAATATTACAATAATTAAAAAGGGCCATTACCCAATGTTTATCCCAGCTCTCTGGGTCTTGGGAAGGGTAGACTGGGTATGGTCCTAACATTCGGTATTTTCTCATATAAAGTGGCCCCTATAAAATATTACAATACTTACAATTTAATACGATGTAATTATTATATATTCTATATAATATAAAATAATATAATAAATTATAGTATTATAAATAATAGGGTTATTATCTGAAACAACCCTCAACTTTTCACAACTTACCCTGACTTTTTATACCTTCAAAGACCCCCCCTGTCAGACATTTGCCATTAAAAAGCTAACAGTATTTGCAAGATCACAATGATACCCCTCTATTCAACTCCATTCTTTGATCCAAATTTCCAAAAATAGGCTCACCTATTCACACTTACCCTGACTTTTCCATACAATAAGTTTGACTTTATGATGTTATTTTCAATAAACAAAGTAAAGATTGTTGAGTCTCTCAGAAGTTGATATTTAATACATTTAAGTTACCAGTGTATTCTATTTGAAATCCTTCTAATTATCTTGTGGTATTTTGTTTTAAATCCATTTGTTAATGGTTTCTGGACTAATTGAAGATACTTTGGATCATACAAAATATATTTTCACTTTTGAATAAAAATTTATTTATGATATTTTAAAACTTCAGGTAAGGTGAGAAATACATGGGAAGTACTACAAATTTATACCTTTAGGCATGCTGCAGGCTAGGTGGCTACAGAGAATTGGGATATGAGAATTTTATTTTACTCATTTTAGCATTTACTAAGCTACTGCAAGGTGTCCTACCATTTAATAGAATTCTATTAATTTTCTAAAGTGGGAGAGGAGCATCAATCTTCCAATTATGTTTCCAGTGTTTATTGAGATTTACCATGTTCCAAGGAACACGGGCATAGTTTTCTCTTAATGTTATAAATCTAGGACTGTAAATGGTATCCATTTGTTTTATAATTTGAATTTGATATGTCCACTCTGTTTATCCACTCTATCTAATCCAATATGATGTAATCAAATTGACTTAAGACCCCACATTGGTAGAGAGAGAGAGAGTAAAATTTACAATTCATTTATAAATATTAAAGTTTCTTTAGTTCATTTTTATAATAATATGTAATTTTTTATCTTTTTGAGTTTAATTTATTAATTCTATTAAATTTCCAGTTGTAATGCAAATGCGGTTCGAATATGATATAAATCCAAAAGATAAGATTCAATTCAAATCCGAATATAAATGAATCAAATATGGGTCTACTTGATTTGGTTTGATCCATTTACAGCCCTATCTAAATCTTGGTAGTTCCCAATTGCTCTTTAACTATTCTCCTGTTCTCTTCATGGAAGTGTTCCTATATGTATAAAGCTTAGGTTGAAACCGTTCTCTACCAGAGAGCATCATTCAACATGGCCATGATAGACAATTATAAAACCATCTACCTTTGAGATTATTTGAAGATGTATGGAGAAAATGGAAGCAACAATGAGAATAAACTTTTGCTAGGTAAAACTATTCTGGAGTAGTGAGGAATTCCAGGATCTATTCACCCTGTGAAAGCCACTCTTGGATAAATGAACCTTTCTATGTTCTATTTCTTCCCCCTTCATTTGTTGTGCTTTGCAGGACTCTTGGTTTTAGTCTAGCTTCTTTCTTTCACAGGTTCCTCATGGGGCTGCTGCTTCAGTATGCTTCAAAACTGGACTCGCACACCTTGAGCAGAATCAACTTCCAGATGCACTGTCCTGTTTCAATGAAGCTTTTCTTGCACTAGCCAAGGATCAATCTCGTGGAGCTGACATTAAAGCTCAAGCCACCATTTGTGCTCAGTACAAGATTGCAGTTGCTCTACTTCAGGTATCATCATCTAAGATTTTTAAGTAAATTGATAATAAGCCATTTAATCCTCAAAGACAAACTTGTGAGAAACATTAAAGCAATCTCCGTTTTACATCTTTTCCTCCTATCTTTTCAAACAAAAGTTTATGGTGAATGATCCTAGAAAGAAACCTAGACTGGACGAACACCATCCAGTAAAAGCAATCTCTTTTTTACATTTTTTACTGTGCATAAGCTTCAAGTGGGATCTGGTGAATTATGGGTCCTTGTACCATTATGTGCCATGCACAAAGCCTGGGTAGCAGCACAATGGAGGTCAAATATGCAGAATACCTGATTGGAAAGAGGCTTACAGCCACAGTATTGGTCTTCCATTAGTAACATCCACAGACTGCTACAAGATCTATATCGGGATATTAGTTCCCTTTCAATCCATGATCATAAGAGTTTGGCAAAAGTTTTAGTGCCGACTGCCAACCTGATGCAACTCTCCTCCTTTATCCGAGCTTAGGACCAGTGGTGTAAGACAAGCTCACACTGGCGGTTTAAGACAAGCCTCCTTTCACAATGGATATGGCATTAAACAGAATGGAATGGCAAGACAAGATTCATGTAGCCGACCCCTTACAGTTGAGATAAGGCTTGGATGATGATGATGATGAGTTTCCTTTCAATCTTGGAAAGTCATTTTTTAGTCTTAAAGTTTTGTTATGCCTCTTTATTGTTGACAAGATAATACATCTTATTTTATTATGACAAGCTAATATATCTAATTTACTGTAAAATTCATGCATCCTATATAGGAAATTGGACGGCTGCAGAAGGTACAAGGACCTAGTCTAATTAGTGCAAAAGATGAGATGGCAAGACTCTCCCGACACCTGGCTTCCTTACCACTTCAAACAAAGCATAGAGTAAACTGCATCAGAACTGCAATAAAAAGAAACATGGAGGTGCAGAACTATGCTTATGCAAAGCAGATGCTTGATCTCCTCCTGTGCAAAGCACCACCAAGTAAGCAAGATGAATTGAGAAGCTTGATTGACATGTGTATTCAGAGGGGGTTGTCCAACAACTCTATTGATCCATTAGAAGATCCTTCCCAGTTCTGTGCCGCTACACTCAGCCGCTTGTCAACAATTGGACATGATGTTTGTGATCTTTGTGGGGCCAAATTTTCGGCCCTTAGAACACCTGGGTGCATCATCTGTGGTATGGGGAGCATTAAAAGATCAGATGCACTCACAGGGCCTCTTCCTTCACCATTCAGTTGATTTATGCCTTGCCATACTATTTTCGGGACCAGATCCCTCTTGCTGGATGTTTTTCTTGAACCAATAAAGGCATTTTCCAGAACGAAGCCACCATAATGTATCATCCGTTCTGGGGAACTGATCTTTTTTAGGGGGTTGGAGGTGTAGAAGTGGGGGCTTCTGCCCTATTAGTTGCTCATAGTTAGAATTTTCATTTTTATTTTTCTCTTTCCTATACTCATCTTTCCTTTATTTAATTTATCCGTAAATTGGTTATTTTGGATCAACAAAAATTTTGAAGCCTTTGGAGAAACTAGGAGTCTGAATTCAGTCCTCACAATATTTGTACTCACACCGTGCTCACAACATTTATCGCCATGCAATTCGAAGTGTTGTGAGCAGTGTGATTACAAATTTTGTGAGGACTGAATCCGGTCTCAGAGACTAGACATTTAAAAATCATTATATCATTTGCATCCTGTTAGTAACCTACTTTGACGAGTGGACGTGTGGGTTTTACATGTGCAATGAGGTGGTTTTATGTTTGTGCCTTTGTGGTTTCCATATCCAGGTTCTCTTATAGACTAAACTTGTCTAGAAAACATGTCAGCCTTTGGAAAGGAAATATAGGATTAGGATGGAGTATAACAAATTAACAACGCTATATTCCGATTTTCAAATGCCACCTACAAAGATCCTCAGCAAATTGAAAAAAGGGACACCCATAAAGATAGACATGATTAAACATGGGTCTTACCATGTTTTAGAGCTTTTTTTTTTGGCAAATATCGACTTGCCAGTTCAACAAGTCTGTTAACCATGGAGGACAAAAGGAGATTAGTTCTTCTAAAAGGCCCCCTGCAGGCTATGCTATATATGTGCAACAGAATTTGTTCTGCGACACAAGAAAACTTAACAGATAAGTCTTTAGACGGGGAGGCACCTTAAATATGAAAAACTTTGGTTGTGACATTTTGTCCTCAGTTTTTATGAAATCAAGATGGTGTTCATCATTTATTCCTCCTGTGAGAGAGATTTTCAATATAAACTGAGATCAAGATTAGGTGGACGAAAATCTGAAATGCATCCAACGTAGTGTTGCCTCGCGCCGGTTCAAAGGATATGAAAGAAAATAAGGAACTCAGTGGGACACTATATAGAAAAGTAGAAAACAGCACTGGCATATATGAAGGTAATGAAACAATCATTTTGATGAATCTCTTTAATTTTTTCTTTTTGGTATTACAGTTGGGCATTGGAGTACGGAGTGTAAGCAATCTATTTTTCTATTTTCCCCAAGTAGCTCTGGTGTAGATTAATCATTAACTCCTCCAAAAGGAAATCCAGTTTTTATTCATCTGGTGGTGGAAGGCCAATGCCTGAAGCCTGATTGCCTTCATTTATCAAAATTCTGAAGGCATCTAGGTTCTACAAGTATACATCATAGATTTCCCATCTGAAGAAGAGTTAGCTTGGAATTATAACACTTTTTCGTTCCTCAGCTCACATCGTTTCATTGTCATTAGACTAAGACGAAGAAAGCACCTAAGAAATCAAACGACATGTTCAAAGCCTTTAAACTTCTACTTCCAAACGAATAAAACCATGGATAAATGCTGGTTGCTTTGCCTTCTAGGAAAAATTTCAAAGTAGCATCAATTAGAATCCTTAGGTCTGTCATCTATTCTCACCGGAAAATGAGGCTTGCAAATCTCTGTTTAGGGGCAATTCGTCTACACAATCAGCTTAACCTTTGCAAATCTCTGTTTAGGGGCTTCTTCCTTAATACCGGCGAAGAATAGGTATGGATTCGGTTCACTTATAAGAATCTCACAAGATTCTGTGCCTATTGCGGTTTGGTTCGCCATCAATGGAAGAAGTGCAGACAAATCCGCCCAGGTACCGGTCATGAAGAAGTACTCTTAGAAACGGGGAAACGAAAAATAGATGAGCCAGGAGACTGGCTACGGGTCGAGTCCAAACCAGAACAACCTCTCTGCTATGTATTGCATAACTCCATCTGCATGCAACCAGCTGCAAATCACCTAAAGAAAAGAGAATATAGCTTCGACAAAGACTTCGAAAATGATTTAGCTACAATAATCTCTCTCCTCCTTCTCTTGTTTTTTGTCTTTTCCTCTTCCCACCCTTAAATGATTCGTTGTCCCACATTGCTTGGAAAAGGAGTGGAAGTGGAGTATATTTGTAGTCTTGCTCTCTTTATGGGTAGGGACCCATAGGAGGAGAGGACTATAGATATTCCATGCATGTGAGGGGGGTTGGGGGTATTTTTCACACGCGTGCGCCGAGCCGGGCCAGGGCGTGGGCGCGGGTGCACGTACCATATTTATGGAACCTATCACTGCTAACTCTTTCATGAGAAACAGGATATTGTCAACCTGAACATTACAAGAAGGGCTGTCGGTACCAAAAGAATGACTCTAGGAAACCAAAAGTCAATTTGACTAAGGTTGTTATCGCAACCATGGTAACTAAGGTGAACTTAGTTGATAAGTCGAAGGAGTGGGTACTAGACACTGGTGCTACCAAGCACATCTGTGGGGACCGCAGTTCCTTCTATGAGTATACAACTCAGACTGAAGGAGAGCAAGTCTTCATGGGAAACTCACAAACTTCGAAGGTCATCGGCAAAGGAAAGGTGCTCCTGAAACTGACTTCAGGAAAAATTATAATGCTGAATGATGTGCTACATGTGTCGGAGATCTGACGGAACTTGGTATCAGGAGCACTCCTCAACAAAGTAGGACTAAAACTCACATTTTAAGCAAAAAATGCCGTGTTGACTAAAAATAATGTATTTATTGGAAAAGGATACAATTTAGGAGGACTATTTGTATTGAATGTTTCTGAAATTATTATGAACAAAACTGCTTCTTCTTCTACTTATATTGTTGAATCTTTTGATATTTGGCATGCTAGACTAAGGCATTGTAGTGCTCCTTATTTAAAATGTTTATGTAAGTTAGAAGTTTTGAATGTTCCTATTAATTTTACAAATGAAAAATGCCAAGCTTTACAGGTGACTTCTCTAGATATGCAAAAGTAGTTCTACTTAGATCAAAAGATGAGGTTGATCAAACTTTCATAAACTACAAAACTGAAGTAGAAAATCAGTTAGGAAAGAAAATAAAAAGACTTATAATAGATAGAGGAACTAAGTATAATGGACAAACCATTAGAAAATTCTTTGAAGAAAATGGAATCATATATGAAACCACAACTCCCTATCAACCTGAATCTAATGGAGTTGCATAAAGACTGAACAAAACATTAAAGGAAATGATGAATGCAAGGTTAATTAGTTCAGGTGTACCTCTGAATTTGTGGAGGGAAGCAATCCTAACGGCTTGCCACCTATATAATAGAATACCACCCAAGAAGAAAGGACAAATACCCTTTGAACTCTAGCATAACAGAAAACCTAGTTTGAACTATCTAAAAGTTTAGGGCTGCCTAGCAAAGGTTGGAATACCTGAACCTAAAAAAAAGAAATTATGACCGAAAACCTGTGACTGTGTGTTCATTGGCTATGCACAGAACAGTGCGACTTATCAGTTCCTTGTAATTAAAACAATTAAAAATATTGTTGAAAATAACACAATAATAGAGTCCCGAGATGCAAGGTTCTTTGAGCACATCTTCCCTTGGAGAAAAGAAACATTAAATAGGGAACCTTCCCAAAACTAAGTTAGAAACCAAGAACAAGTGAGTGCTCAAGGAATCAGTACTTCACTTAGGCAAGACTTAGACTTAAGGAGAAGTAAAAGACAAATAAGAGAAACAAACTTGGGTGATGAAATGTTCACATTTCTGGTAGACAAAAACCCAGTAACCTATCAGGAAGGTATAACTTCACCTGATGCAGTATTTTGGAAAGAAGCCATAAAAAGTGAAATACTCTTTAGTCACTAATCACACTTGGGAACTTGTAGATCTCCCACCTAGAACTAAGGCACTAGATTGTAAATGGATCTTTAAGAAAAAACTAAAACTTAATGGCACAATAGACAAATTCAAAGCCAGATTAGTTGCTAAGGGGTTTAGACAAAAGAAAGATGTAAACTTCTTTGGCACCTACTCCTCAGTTGCAAGATTAACAACAATTAGGGTTTTGTTTCCTATAATATCCATTTACAAGCTAATAGTTCATCAAATGGATGTCAAAATAGCTTTCTTAAATGGGGAATTAGAAGAAGAAATTTACATTAGGAAACCTGAAGGCTTCATAATGCCAGGACAAGAAAATAAAGTATGTAAATTAATTAAGTCACTGTATGGCTTTAAACAAGCTCCCAAACAATGGCATAAAAAATTGATAGTGTGTTAGTAACTAATAGATATAGCAGAAATGGTTCTGATAGATGTGTCTATAGCGAATTTGAAAATAATATAGGAGTCATGATCTGTCTATATGTTGATGATATGCTAATAATGGGAATTAGTCTAAAGGTTGTAAAAGAAATAAAACAATTTCTAATGTCCAAATTTGATACCAAGGACTTGGGTGAGGCTGATGTAATCTTAGGGATCAAAATCCATAAAGAACAAGAAAGCTTTATTCTCTCCCAATGTAGAGAGTATTCTTAGGAAATTTGGACACTATGATTGTAAACCAGTTAAAACACATCTTGATTGTAGTATTCACTTAAAGAAACATGTAAGAGAACTTGTTTCACAAAATGAGTATGCAAGTATAATTGGATCTATATCTTATTTAATGAACTATATAAGATTAGACATAGCTATATCTATGGGATAATTAAGTCAACATACTCATAATCCCGGAAATGAACATTGGGAAGCTTTAGTAAGATTATTAAAATATTTAAAAGGAACCATAAACTTTGGTTTACATTACTCAGGTTTTCCTCTTGTTCTAGAAGGCTTTATTGATGCGCAGATTCAACTAGTAGTACTTCCACCAATGGATATGTGTTTACTCTAGGTGGAGGAGCAGTATCATGGAAATCGATAAAGCAATCATGCAATACAAGTTCAACAATGGAGACCGAGTTCATTGCACTAGAATTGGCAGGGTCCGAGGCAGAGTGGCTAAGGAACTTGCTAGCAAACATACCACTTTGGTAGTGCCCGGTTTCATCCATATCTCTCCATTGTGATAGCCAAGCAGCAATAGCTAGAGCCAAGAACTAGACGTACAACGGTAAAAGAAGACACATCCACTTAAGGCATAACCTGGTAAGACAATACCTCAGCGAAGGTACAATCGCTCTAGATTTTGTAAGGTCTAAAAA